ATTTGTTTCTGGTCTTTGTTAAGTTCTATTGGAAAAACCACTGTCTGTGTTTTTTTGGCAGTTGTCTGCATTATCCTGTTCATACACCCATTTTGTCCCTTTATTGAAAAAATAAAAAACAACAACCCTTAAAGTACACAATGTAAGCTTCTTGTGTCCTCATTTGACACACTCTGTAAATTACTTTCAGCAAAAGCAGCAGGTTTTAAAAGAAGGCCAGTCTGTTTTCTGAGTTTCTCCATGTGGGCATTTTGACATGTGTGTTTGTAACCTAAAGGAGCATAAAGTACCATATTTATATTTAAATAAAATGCCTCGTCCCCAGGAAAATAGTTTTTAGGCTTTACAATTATAGGATAAATTTCCAACCAATGGAATCTGTTTTCAATCTGGATGTTTAACTTTTTTCTCTAGGAATGCATTTAGTTAAGGAATAAACTGTAAACTTGATGACAATGACATCTATGTCTTTCATTTGGTATCCTTTGTTTGTGAAAGGGACTTTCCTCCCCATTTTTGCAACATTACGTGTGATTCAAGGACAGAGATGAAATATGTTCAGCCCCCCCTCACCTGTGTACTGCACCACTCTTCGAGCCCCTCTTCCCCCACAAAACAAAACAAACCCCAAAAGTGACAGATGAATTGGAAGGTGCTGCAGAGTGACTGTCTCTGCCAGTGACATAAACAGTGAAATCAGCCACTGCTCATGTGCATGCATGTACAGAAGCTGATTCTGTGAGATGCATTGTGCTACACCCTGCGGATTCAAGATCAGTCTAACCTGGACCTAAAACTCCAGCAACCTCTTTTACAACATTTTACTGGTTGAAAACAAATCAGGGGTGGGAACTCCCCTTCCATTATATTCTGTACAACCTACAAGTTTATGAAACGTTGTGTATACATTGTCTTTCAAATCTGGACTCAGGTTTTCTTTTCTCCTTAGAGGTCTGTATATGTTGTCAGTTTTACAAATACTGCATGTTGCAGCATCTATTTACATTATTAAAACACATACCTCTGTGATACTGTCTCTTGCTGTTCCTAGTGTAATGGAGTTAATATTACAATTTTTTTTATTATTTCTGTAAAACCCTAAAGTTGTTATGTTGTCTTTTTGTGATGGCATCATTTGTTGCCTGTATTTTGCCCAGCGTCTCCTTAGAGGACATTTTTGCTAAGAAAATATTAACATGTATTCTTTTGCTGAGAGAGACAAATAAAGCTCCCTTTAATTTAAGGACAGGAGAAATGAAAGTTATTCCCTACCCTATCTGAACAGGTGTGTAAAATGGTTGAAAAAATATGTAAGATAAATTGGGGCCTGATACTGATTTCAGTTCCACAGGTGTCAATCCAGAATCATTCCATTGACTTGGGGCTTGATACTGCCAGATGCTGAGGACTCTGGCCTGGATCCACTAATGCATCTAAATATGTCTCCAGGTCAGCACGGTACTTAAGCAAGTGCTTCACTTTAGGCACGCAAGTCGTCCCATTGGCTTCCATAGGACTAATCATGTGCTTAAAATGAAGCATGTGGCTAAATGCTTTGCTGGATCAGGGCTAGAGTATTCAGCATCTTGCAGGATAGAGCCCCTAAATGGAATGACCCTGGATTTACACCAGTGGAACTGAGATCAGAATCTGCCTCTTGGGTACTAGCAAATATTCACTGTAGTAGGTTTGACGATGAAGGGGAGGACGAAGATGAACATGTTGACTGGGACAAGACAAAAAACTGTAAACAAAACAGTACTTTGTTGTGATCTTTATGTCTCAGAGATATAGTCCTTGTGTCTAAACTCAAGATACTGGTACCAGACAGGTACTTTGCAGCTATTTAACAACATGATTTTTGATCCAGTGCCATTAAATGTCCATGAAGAGTTCAGTCTTTCTCTCTCTCTCTCTCCCTGATTTTTTTTAGTAGTTGTTAGTACTGCAGTAGAGATTTTATATACAGGACTTATTTTAATTGTTCTGTCTATGAAGCAATCATAACAATTATGTCTTTGTTTTAAGTTGAATTCTAACACACACATATATAGTAATAATATTTTCATTATATGTTGCATTATAACATGTTAAACATATAAAATAATTGTGTGAATATAGCTAGCCATCTAGCTATCTGTCTAGGTATACAGATGGATATGTGATATATCACATACAGTACATATTGCTAAAAAATTAAAGACGAAAAACATGCTATGATTTTTTTAAGAAATCTGCAACAAAACATTTGATTTATACACTTCTATCAAAAAGCTAGATACATCCATTGGGCACATCACTTCATTTCCAACTTACACACATGCAGCATAAGCACTGTACTCGAGGAACCCCCTACATTAAGAGATTTTATACAGCGTCACCTAAATAACTTCAAAAACTAGCCAACAAGAACATAACTTAGAAATGACAACATGTTGTAGCCTAAACACTAAAGCAAAAATAGTAATACAAAATGTGACATTTTCTAACTGTGTGATAAATTAATGGTGTTATAAAACCATGAACCATTGAGGCCCGTTCAAGTTTGTTAGAATTCTGAAACAGATTTATATGGCATCCATAATGTGTTCTTAAGCTGCTGTAACATTCCATACAAGCATGACCTACTGTCCCAAGAAACTTTTTATATTTAACTCTCTGTGGAAAGATGTCTCAATAAATAAGAACAATATTTGGGTAATAGTATTGCAGTTGATAACATATCAAAACCAATCAACTTCAGAAGAGGAATGTATTTTTACTGCGCAGATGCCTTTGCCATTAGTATTTAATATCCTCCAAATTGAGTAATTTGTATAATGAAGAGACTGAAACAATAGCAAGAATTTAGGCTACAGATGTTTCATATTTATTTCCAAGAGCTGAGATAAATACAGGAATAAGTGATACCATGTCTTTGCTTGATATTCAGAAGGCTTTGGCATATCTGATGAGATACAGTTTCAGGGTTTATCGAAGTGCAGAGTTTGTATAAAAAGAAAAAAAGATACCAGCTGTTATTTTAGTTCTTTTCCCTGCAAAGGTTGGAAACCATTTACAGTGAAAGTGTGGGAAAATTATATTATGGATTGTGAGTACGATACTGCCTGGCAGGCATGTCACTGGAGTCATGAAAGGAAGCCACTGTTTCCCAAATCCAGATGTATATATTTTGACTGGCACTGCTCAAGGAATCTAAGGAAGTTAGATGCCCAACTCTCATCAATACTGAAAGTTAGTAAGAGCGGTTGGATTTTTCAAAAATGCTTAAGTGACTTAGGAGCACAAGTCTTATTGGCTTTCAATCGGACTTGTGCTTTTAAATTACTTAGGCACTTTTTAAAACCCATCCTAGGTACCTAACTCATTTAGGCTCATTTGAAAAACTCAGGCTTATTTATTTTCATTTTAATACAAATTAAATTCAGAAACACATAGAATTGGACTTTTATCTGGTGTAAATCAGGCTAGTGCTATTTACTTTAATTGAGCTATTTTAATTTATACCCATTTACGATATGGCCCTCTTATTTAATCTTGATAAGTAGCTCATGAGTTGCCCGTCAGCTACACACTTAAACATTTATGAGGCAATTTCAATAGAAACTGACTCTGTGGTCGGTATGTATAGATTGATCTTAATCAATGCATCTCTGGTTCTGCCATTGCCACAGGTCGTGCATGCAGGCTCTTGAGCATGCAGTTTGTTCATTAGCCTATTGTTTGTTTTAGTACAATATATAATTGGTGACTGGCCTTTACACTGCCTGCATATCACTATATAATTCAGCTATGGGGAAACATTTATTTTTCCATCTTGCACAGCTAGGGCCTGACTCAATGCCAATGAAGTCGATGGCACACCTCCCACTTACTTCAATGAACATTGGCTCAGGCCTGTAAGGCTCAAGCATTTATTTCACACTTCACCAGGTACAGTACACCCTATAAGTTGCACTGTTATTCAAATGCAATTGAATTCAGTGACATAAGAGTCTCTGCAAATTGTACAGCTTGTGGTATATCAAAAAATATTTGCTGTGCTCTATCTGGCATCCGTCAATAGGATTGTTGGGTGGGAGAGGAATACTGGAGTCAGTCAGTGTTTTAACTGAGTTAAGTCGTAGTGAAGACTGGAGGATTTGCCCCCTGGCGTGTTATTTGTGCTATCTGTATTTTTGCTGTGCTGGAAGTATTCCCATGCATGTGTGATGTGGGAGTTTGTGAATTCTTGGTGGGATGGCAGGAGTACGGACTAAGATCATGAACCCGGGGTCCATTTCATTACATACTCTTTTGGCAATTCAAGTTGCAGTTTGTAAAAAAAGAAAAAGAAAAATGGGGGCGGGGGGAAGAATTTACCTTTTGGGCTGTGTTACACCTATTTTTCCTCTGTCCCCATCCTTTCTCTAGGTTCGACACACACCCCCACTTGGCGTAGTGCCCAGGGAACTCGTGACGTGTGGCAATTTTCGGATGGAAGCTCGAGACCGCTTAAATTCTGAGAGAATGTGAAGCACACGGGGAATGTGCACCATGTACATGACATCTGAATGTGGTCCGTTATCTTGCTAGCTTTGCGATGCTTTCTGACAGTAACTTCAGACTTCACCGTCCAAAGGCAGCATCCAACAGGCTCCTTCCGCCTGCCTGCAAGACTATGTTATATATATTTTTAATAGAATAAAAACACTTCTTTTTTTTAAAAACCAACCCACCATCAAGGGCTTATCGATCATCAATGGCTTTGACTGGCTTCCATGCCATTGGGAAAAAGCCCTCTTGAGTATATGTTGATACAGTGTGGAGAACCCAGCCTGTTGTTCTTATACATTACACACCATCTTTTTAAGTGCGGCTAATGTTACAAATAGCAAAAACAAATAAATAAATAAAGGAGGGGGGCAAGGGGGAGACTTGACATAATAAATGTTGGTGCTTTAGGTTTTGTTTGCTCTTTAATTTTTAATGCTAACAAGGACCATGCAGCCGGTATGACGTTTGTAGTACCATATCCACTGCATAAAATCAACTGTTGTGATTAAAAAAGAAAACAAAACCCATATACACACAAGAAGTTATCCATCTATAGATGGTATACATTTCAAAGAAAACTAAAAATGCAAAAGCGTTGTTAATGCAACACTATAATTAATGTAGAACTAGTGTGGTTGTTTATTAATGCTGAAGTGTGGGGGGTCTCCTAACTGTCTAACTTATCATTTGCATACCATTGAATAATGCCTACTGTGTTGTATTTCTGCTGTTAAAATATGTATTTTTGAGGTTGCGCGGGGGGAGGGGATGATCCATAGCATACTTTAATTTGTCATTGTTTGTCCAAAAAGCTAACTGTTTCCAGGAGAATAATAATTTCATTATGGTGATGCTGTAAGCTCCACGAAAAGTTGAACCCCCACCCCCCCACAAAAAGCCCCCTGTGGTTATTGATTGATCTTTGTTACAGTTATCCTTTATTTGTGCAAGTAGCCCTATTCTGGAAAGCAGTTACCACTAGCTTATTTTAAGCATGTGCTCAAATCCTGTTGGATCTAATAAAGCATTTGAACACTTGCTTAACTCTGTGCTCCTATTGACTTTCATATGACTATTAGGGACTTAAGTACATGCGTATGTACGTTCCTGAATTGGGGGCACAGATTGTACCACTGAATTCAGTATATTCTATTGATGACCATGTGTGATAAGGGTTATAGGATCAGGCCTAAGTGCTGATGTGAATCCTTTATTTGGTTAAGTCCTGATGCTGCAGGTCAAGCTGTGCCATCATCTTATTTTCATGTAAAACCACCCTGAAATTTATACCAGGTAGAAATTTAACATGCAGGGTCTCAGGTCAGGTGACAAAGTTATTTGTATTTATTAATTATTGTTGCTTTTTTATTTATTTTTCAAAGCTGAATGTGAAAATTTGGCCAGCCTGCTATTTTGCCCGTGAAACTGCAAAATAGATAAAATAATAGCACCTTTGGGTCATTTAAAAAAAAATCTATAAATGTTATTTTGTTTAGGAGAGTGGTTACAGCACAAGCACAGTCACTTTTGTAACAAAACTTTTGTAAAGGACTTTAGACCGTAGTTGCAGAGTGCATGAGCGTCTGTGCACACCACTGTATTAATGGAGACGGGCCAATAGACTATCAGTGATCTGTGGATGACCGTGTACAAATGGGGATTGATACAACAGACTATTACTGTTTCTTCTGAGGTGTTATGGATTCT